TTTCCAATAATTTCTGATATGTCAACCATTTGTCCTTGTCTGCTGTTTCTCTTCTATAATATGCCTCTTGAGCTGAGATCTATAAAAGTGTTTTGTGCACAACCCTGGGTTTATATCTATTCCATATTCTCAATATGGCATGTCTAATAAAATGATTTTTTAAAATCCAAATTAACTTTATTATATCATAAATATCCATGCCATCTAACCTTAGGTCGTGACCTTCTAAATTTTCTTGTTTCTCAGCAACATCCATTATTTCATCTATTTCAAATAATAAGCAGCAAAATGAAATTTCAAATATGATAAATCCCATCTTCCTCTTTCCTTTATATCTTATAACACTTCATATTTGACTTACGATTTTCCCCCTTGCTATATGAATTTAGAGGCATCTTTTTGCCATTGTTCAAATGGTAAACAGATGTCAAAGCAGGTATTATCTGAAACAGAAACATCGTTCTTGGCAAAGCATTCTCCCCAAAGTGACCATTTTAATTTCTCCCACCTTATCATGTCCTTCTTAATTTCATTCTATGTCTTAACATGATCATTTTCAAATAGCACTTCTATTTGTCATCATAATACCCAGGTACTTTACTTTTTTCTCAATCTTAAAATCAGTTTTTTTCCATCAGTTTATTTGAACTTATAATTTCATGTTTTTGTTAACATCTTTGTCTTCTGATTATTACGGATAGACCTTGACTTACAACCATTCATTTAGTGACCATTTGAAATAACCACAGCACTGAAAAAAGTGACTTATGACCGGGTCTGGGGTACCCAGAGCGGGATGGAGCCTATCAAATGGCTAGTGTGATCTGCTATCGTCGGGGCAGGGGGTGGGAGTTGGGGGGTGATTTTTTTTATTTTTTATTTTATTTTTTCCAGATTTTGTTCTATTGTACTTTATTAATTTATTTGATTCTTTTTGTTAGTTTTTATTGGTTTTTTTATTTTTTATTTTTGTTTTTTATTTTAAATATGGTTTAGAGAGCCTCGGTGGCGCAGTGGTTGGAGTGCAGTACTGCAAGCTACTCCTACTGCAATTTGGTAAATCGAATCCCACCAGGCTCAAGGTTGACTCAGCCTTCCATCCTTCTGAGGTGGGTAAAATGAGGACCTAGGTTGTTCGGGGCAATAGGCTGATTCTGTCAACCGCTTAGAGAGGGCTGTAAAGCACATAAAGCAGTATATAAGTCTAAGGGCTACTGCTATTTTACATTGTGTACGCCGGTTTGAGTCGCCATGGGTGAATAGGCGGCAATATAAAATAAATAAATAAATAAATAAATAAATAAATAAATAAATAAATAAA